CCTCATCAGTGTTTGAGAATTCTCTTTTTTTTTTTTATGCTTCATTCTAAATTGCTTTTGGAAACCCAAGACACTCTTGCTCCAATACCATCATCAATAAACATTTCTGGTTTATTTAGGGGATTTTAAAAATGTGGTAAAAATATATATAACAAAGTATTTACCAATTCAACAATTTTTACATGTACAATTCAGTAACACTGATTACGTTCATCATGTTGTGCCACCATTAACACTATCCTTTTTAAAATCATTCCACTACAATTAATAGAAACTCCCCTAAACAATGACTCCCAAGTCCTCCCTCTCTCCCACCCCTGTCAATCACTAATCAACTTTTGTCTGTATACATTTGTCTGTTTCATATAAGCGGCCTCATATAATATTTGTCCTTTTGTGACTGATATATTTCCCTCAGCATGATGTTCTCAAAGTTCTTCCATGCTGTGGCATAAATTAGGGCTTCATTTCTCTTTATGGCTGAGTAACACTCCACTGTATGTTTATCCATTCATTTATTGATGGACATTTAGGTTATTTCCACCTTTTGGTTATTGTGAATAGTGTTGTAATGAACATTGGTGTACAGGTTTCTGCTTGTGTTCCTGCTTTCAATTATTTTGGGTATGTACCTAGAATTGGGAATGCTGGATCATGAGGTAGTTCTCTGTTTAACTCTTCGAGGAACTGTCAAACTGTTTTATATAGTGGCTATTCTACTTTGCATTCCCATCAGCAATAAGTAAGAGTTCCATTTCCTCCACATCCTTACCAACACCTGCTATTTTCTGTTTTTTCCTTTTTAAATCATAGCCATTCTAGTGAGGGTGAGGTGGTATCTCACTGAGGTTTTGATTTACATCTCCTTAATGATGTTAAGCATTTTTTCATGTGCTTGTTGGCCATGTGTATACCTTCTCTGGTGAAACGTCTATTCAGGTCCTTTGCCTATTTTTCAATTGGGTTGTTTGTCTTTTTCTTGCTCAGTTTTAGGAGTTCTTTATGAATTCTGGAAACCCTGGTAGCGTAGTGGTTAAGAGCTATGGCTGCTAACCAAAAGGTTGGTGGTTCAAATCCACCAGGCGCTCCTTGGAAACTCTATGGGGCAGATCTACTCTGTCCTATAGGGTGGCTAGGAGTTGGAATTGACTTGATTCCAATGGGTTTTCTTGGTTTTTATAAATTCTGCATATTATACTTTTATCAGATACATAATTCTATTTAGGGGACTTTTATAATTAAAAAATAGGAAATTTGCTTTCCTAGGTTCCTGAAAGTATCTATTTTGTTGTTCTTTTAGCTAGTCTTTATAACAGCCTTTTAAATTATCCTGTTTTACATTGCACATAATTTTAAAGCAACCCTCAATTCCTTTCTGAAGCAGGAAGCCTATGAATATAAAATTATAAACACTTCAAAATCAGGAATCTAGTCAGTAAAGGTAAAAAAAAAAAAAAATTCTGTACCTCAGTTCTCTACAAGGGTTCCTCCCTGAATACTTATTGGGTGCGTACTATATGCCTGCTGCTATAGAAGGTGGTAGGACACAGAGATGACACTACTGTTCTTGCCATAAGGAGCTCAGAGTCTGAGGAAGAGAGCAACACAAAACCACATGAGCAAGAAGGGCTAAACTAGAGGTTGTAAAGGGTGTTATCTGAGAAGCACAGGGAAGGGGCTTCTAATACTCCAGGGGAGAGGAGTATAAATACTGGAAAGAGGAGTGAGAGGAAAAAAAGGAAAAAAAAATGAAAATGAATGGGGAAGGCTATTCAACCTTGGAGTCCCAAGTGGCAGATTCATATACTAACAATGTTCTTTCTTTGTAAACAGACAACCTTAAATTTCAAAAAAAGTGGCCAGAGGAGAGGGATGCATAACATTTCCAAAATTGGCATTATAAACCATTTGCATTCCTACGTAAATTATGGAAGGTCGGGTAGCCTTGAAATCTTTTCTTTTTCTAAATTCTAATGGAAGAAACCTTCGGTTCTCCATGCTGGCAAATTTATATTCATGTGGAGAAGCCATCTACTTCATAACCACTGGGCTTTTAATGCTCTGTAGCATTTCAGGGCTGTATATCACATCAGGAGTTTCTTAACTTTTTCTATGCTTTGGCAGTCTGGTGAAGCTTACGGGTCCCTTCTCAGATGTCTAAAATGTGTAAGATATATAAATGCATAAAATAAAGTACATAGGATCACAAAGGAATCCAATTATTTTAAATAATTATCATAATAGTTATCAAAATATTAAACAAATTTGTGATTAGCAGTATATATGCTTCTTTGTAAATATTCAGGTAGTGGCAGGTCTAATAACTGCCATGACTTTGAAGTAGTGATGAGAGTAAGTAGTATCTAGAAGTATGTGTAATATCTGTTATATGATTCAAAATTATCTGTGATTACTATTGGTGACAAAGTTACATGTACTGCTATTACTACTGCGGTCTATTATAAATGTTCATAATTGAGGGGGATGCCAAATTTCACTTAGAGACTAGTGAAAATAAATATTAATTTCTTTTCTTGTCTAAGTTCATCCTTCCTCCAATGAAAAGGAACCCAGTTTTATAATCCTTTTAACTGGCACCCTCTCCCTGCTATCTGCCTTGTGGGCCAGATGAGGTTAAACTGAGAGTTGGTTGCTACCTGGACGCTTAGCTTCCCCATTCCGACTCCAGAGAAAATGGAGAGCATCTGTGGGAGCCCACCCCTCACTCACATGTAAGCCTTGTAGTTGTTGCCTATCTTCTGGACCCGGATGTCATACTTGGAGTCAATGAAAGGCTCTGCTGTGGCGTAGGTCTGGGTGAGGGCCACCACACTAGCAATGTCTTGGAAATCATAGTGGTTTTCCACTTTGACCTAATGTTGGAGACATACACATACACACACTGAGAAGTCATAAGAGCCCTGAGCCAAACCCATAATGTGCTTCTTCTCTAGATGCAAACCGGCATGTCACAACTCCCTACAGACCCTTTCTCTCTATCTTCCCTTCCCAGGGCCCAGAGACCACACCTGCTGCCAGGAACCCAGTGGACCAAGCAGGTAGACTGCACTCTGCTTGTTGAAAGAGGCCTAGTCTGGCAACACTCATACCTTCAAAAGGGACCAAAGCATCTTCTGCTTGGAAAGACTTTATCAGTAACAGAGGCAGAAGAGCAGCCTACAAGTGAGCTCTCTATACTGTGCCCTTTCAGCTTTCTCTCAGAACCTTCTTGGTCTCAAACCCTCAACCCTGGAGCTCAGCAGACCCCTCTGCCTTACCTTGCCCATACCCGAGTGAGCATGGCCAATCTTCACCACCACAGGGAATGTGGGCAGTGTCAGCTGGAAGCAGAGGAGAAAGGAATGAATTGGTCAGAGTGTGCCTGTCTCTGTGGAATCCCACAAATATTTATATTGGGAACACCCTTGGAAGAGTCCTTTAAAAACTATTCCAACCTACTTGCTTTACAAATTGAAAAATGAAAGCCCACAGCATGCCAGTAACTTGCCCAAGGTCACCCAGCATATTAGTGGCAGAGCTACAAGAACCCTGCTATCCTAGTTGGTACTTGCTGTATCTTTAAAACTCATTGCTTCTATCTTCTCTGCATTAGACAAACCCTGGGCAGGACTGGCCCTCAGCCAGAGAGAACAACAACAGAAACACATCTTTCAAGGAGTGAATTTTACTATATGTAAATTATACCTCAAAAAAACCTCACTTAAAAAAATATATCTCTGGAATCTTAACATCCCTTTCGGCATGTCTCTCCCAGCTCTCCTCCCCTCCCCAAATGGCCAGCTTTCTGATCCTGAGCCTGGCCCTCCTCTCCCTCTTCCACACTCTCTTCACTACTCAGCAACTCCCAAGCCTACCGCCAAACATGGCTTAGTATGCGAAAGCCTATTTCTGCCCAGCTTTGGGGTTGGAAAAGAGCTGATATGAGAATTCAGTATGTTTATCGTTCAAAATATATCCTTAAGAGACTAACCTCTACCTTGAGGTATCCAAGTTTTATGGAGGAGCAATAAAAACTGGAAAGGCCTTAACCAAGAAGAACCACCCTTCAAAGGCAGAATTTCTAGCTGTTACAAAATGGCGATGGAAGAAGTAGCATAGTGGAATGCAAAGAGCACTAGACTGGATGCCAGGAGACTCATATTCAGATCCCAGTGACCTCAGCACCTTTCTTCTTTGTTTTCTAAACTACCCACCTTCTATAACAGGCCAAAGTTTCCAGAGAGCTGCGTCTTGAGATACCAATCAGGGTGGCCTAGGATGTGGAGAGGGCTTTGAGGTCCCAGGTTTTATTTTGAGCCCCCACCAGGAACACTGCCCCCAGCCATCTGCAGAGGCTGAGGATCTGGGTATGGGAAAGCGTTTCTAAAGCACTGGCTGCTTTCTCTGACATCCCTCCCCACTCCCCAGCCGACAGAGCCAAGACACACACACATACCCCAACTTTCTCTGTCCTATTCCATTACTGTTTGCTGTTGCTTTGGAGCCTCATAAATAGAGCATTGAAAACACTTCCTGCAGCTGAAAGAAGTCCTGAGTAGCTTGTCTCATTCCCAGTATGCAGCTCAGCAAGGGGTCCATCCTTCTCTGTCACTGTCTCTTTTGCCTGTTGTAATTCTGTCTGCTTCTCTCTGACTCTGCCTGCCTCACTCCTTCTGTCTCTCCCCTCACTCATGTTCCTTCTGCCTGAATCACAATCCTTTGGTCACTGTGCCCTCATGCATTTGTCTTTGTCACTCTTCCTTTCTTTCTGCCTGTGACACCATCTTCTCTCCCAGTGCCTTAATAATAGCTCAGGCAGGGAAACAGAGGCCAGGAGCTTCTCTCCAGACTTGCCTCTTCATCTTACTGAGCCTGCGGGTCAGGAGGGCCTCAGGTCCTGCAGCCTTGGTTGGCCTAGAGCCGAGAGGGCGGAGCCCATCGGGGCGGGATTGGCCCTGGGGCCGCCCATAAAGCCTGGGGCGAGGGGCACCACGCATTCTGAAGGAGCCCTGGAGGATCTGTTTCCTCTGACAGACCCCACAGGCTCCAGCGCAGTTGGTGCTCTGCGGTGTCATGCCCCGGGGCTCCCGGGCTGCGCCGAGCTGGGCGCTGTTGCTGCGGCTGCTGGCCCTGCTGCGGCCCCCCGCGCTGAGCGAGGCATGCAGCTGCGCCCCCACGCACCCCCAGCAGCACGTCTGCTACTCGGCGCTTGGTGAGTCGGGGTCAGAGAGCTCCACAGCAGGGGGGCGGGGGGTTGGATGGGGGTGAGGAGATACTCTGTAAGACCTGGAGTTGTGATGCTCAAATACCTGCACTCCTTGTTTTCTGCAGGGCGAGGGCAGCCTTGCAAGTGCAGAGCCTGGCTGGCTTGTAAAGAAATAAGGGTTGTCAGGGGTCTCGGGGGGCGGGGGGAGGAAGCACCACCCCCACCACCTCCCACCAATAATGAACAAAGTGTAACCGGAACTATCCAGTAATTATTCTGAACTACTGGATGTATGTCCGGGGCTTGGGGGTGGAAGTGGTGGTGGCCTGCATTATAAACATCCTGTCTCAGCGTCCAGGCCTGCAACTGTGGATGCCACCATGCCCCTACTACAAAGAACACCTTTTGACCTTTCTTTTCCCTCTGCCTGGAATGCCCTTTGCTCTGGTAAACTCCTATTCATCCTTCAAGGCCTAACTCAGATAATTCCCCTCCTCTCTGAGGCTTCCTGACTCCCAATTCCTTCTTGGTGCTCCCACAATACCTCTAACATCTTTGTGCTCCTCCTGTACTGTATTTATACATGTATTCTCCACTAAGCCATGAGTTCTGCAGGATGGGGACCCTGTCTTAGTTCTATGGGCCTAGCGCCTAGTGCAAAGTCAGGCACAGAGGAGGAACTTCATAATGGAGTTTTTGACCAATGCTGAAATGGAAAGAGACCACTGCCTCTGTGCAGGGTCAGAACATGTATTAACTTACCTCCAACCCACTGCAGCCCAGGGCTAGGAGAAATAGAGCTCTTACTACTAACAAGTTCAAAAAGGCAGAAAGAGTAATTTAGAGATTATAGGACCCCGGACAGGCCTGAGGAGTTTAGAACTTCGAGCAGCCACTGCAGCGGGTTGTTTCCAGGACCCCACTCACACACAGCCCTCCTCCTCACAACCCAACAGCACCTAAACCAAGAACTCCCCCACGAAATTCTCCATAGGCCCCCGTGTCATATCATCCAGATCCCAGAGGGGGACTGTTCCCACTGGTTGCTGAAGGTTCCATCTTTTCCTATGCAGTGATCCGGGCTAAAATCGCCAGTGAGAAGGTAGTTCCTGCCAGTGCAGACCCTGCCGACACCCAAAAAATGATCCGGTATGAAATCAAACAGATAAAGGTACATGAGGACAGGACAGAGCATTTATCCCCTTGGGCTGGTGGAGGGAATGGGGTCTGTGTTATGGGAGGGGTGGGCCTGGTAGGTATCAAGTGACCTGGCTCAGTGGGTGGTCCTTGGGAATAAATGCTGAAATAGATGAGATCTTGGGAGCAGGGCCCATAGAACCTGAGTGACAGTGCTTGGACAGTGCGTCAGTGACCATCTTGTCCCACAGCTGCCTATGCATGGGGCCACTGGAGGTACCTCCCCTCTCACTGGAATAACCAAAGGTTGAGATTATTTAGAGAGAAATGACCCAGCTGGGCCATCTGTGTGCACCAAGCCCCGAACTAGCCTTTTGTTTAGTTTGTTAGACTGAGAAATGAGAACTTTTTGCCCGTAAAGATATAAAGTACGCTTACTGACTTGATACTGCTTTGCCTTTTAGATGTTTAAAGGGTTTGAGAAAGTCAAGGATGTTCAGTATATCTATACACCTTTGGATTCCTCCCTCTGTGGTGTGAAACTAGAAGCCAACACCCAGAAACAGTATCTCTTGACTGGTAAGTTCAAGACCAGCCACTGGGCTTAATAGAGCCTGTCCCTAGGAGGTCGGTCAGGGAGGAGCCAGGGGCCTTCCATGGGCAGCAGGCTGAGCCAGTGGCATTTGCTTAGGCGTAGAAGGGAGCATTGTTAGTGAGAAGGCGGCTTCTGGCTGCTGGGGCAGCCTTTGAGTTGGGAGGAGCCTTGGTAACTTCCTTTCAATGGAAGAATCCTCATTACAGTGACCTTGGCCACTGCTTCAACATTTCAAGGACAGGTTGCTCTCTCAGCCTAGGGCAGCTGGTTCCATTTTCAAACACTTTTAATTGGTATAAGTTTTTTTGTATCTTGAGCCAAGCTCTGTCCCTCTTAAGTCACCTTTTGAAGGTTCAGCTCTGCTCTCTGCCCCATGATGGCCCTTTGGAGACCTAAGTACAATAGCCATGTCCACCGTTGCTCAAGGTCTGCTTTTTTTTCCAGGTTGAGCTCTTCCTTGTAAGCCATGGTTCCCAGACCCCTTTCCACCCTGCCCCCCCAGCACAGGGCCCAGAACTGGACACAACACTGCAGGTGAGGTCTTAGCCTCACAGAGTAAAGGACGATTGCGTGTGTGCACATACCCCACATTAGTTACTGTGACCTATAATGGCATTAGCTGTGTACAGCCACATCAGGTCACACTCTTGGCTCACAGTGAGCCTGTGTGGCTGACTCACAGCCCAGACCCTATTCTGGGGCACAGGAAAGCACAGCCTAACAGGAGCCTTTAGTTTAACACGGTTCTGTCTTCCCGAACTTGGGCCCAGGCATGTCTCCCTCATACTGAATTTCTTGGGACAAAACAGTTAAAGAACCACACAAGAATATGACTCCACAATTGAATGAATGCAGTGCTAAATTATTTTGGAATTCAGAGAAAGGAGGTATTTGTGTGGTTGCAAATGACTAGGGAAGGTTTCATTGTGTAAGTGGGATCTAAACTCACCCTAAAGGATTAAAAGATTTGGCAATAGGGAGAGGAAAAGAAAAAGCACAGCAGGTGGGAGAACAGGTGGTGGAATTCCACCCTCCACCCATCCATTCAGCAATGAACGAGCCAAGCCTTGGGCAGGAGAGTGGGATTCAGTAATAAGTCATAAGACCTTTCAAGTTCAGTTATCCCACCTCCTTCCTAAGCACCTACCCTGTGTGTCTAGCCCTCTGCTAGGCACTGAGGTGCATCAGGGGACATGGTCTCTGCACTCAAGGAAGTCAAGGTCTAACCAAGGGTGGGTGTGGGGATAAATGACGAAACACAAGTCTACAAAAAGTCATCAGTGGCACCCATGGCCTTCGGGAGAAGGTACAAGCTCCTTCACTTGATGTTAAAAGCTCTTTGTGACCTGAACACTGCTGACCTCTCCAGCTGTCTCTTGTTAGGGACAGTTCTCAGTCCCTCACTTACCCTAGAGCTGAACTACTTGCAGTTGCAGAAAGTGTTCTGCTGGGCTGTGCTCCTCTGCCTTTGCACAGAAGGGTCCCAGTGACCTCCCAACTGTCTGGCAGGTGAACTCCTCCTACCCATCCCTTCAAGGCCCAACTTAAGCACCATCTTCTCTTTGACACCTTCCTTGCCCCCTGCCCCTTCCGTATACTGAGATAATGGTCCTTTCCCTTGTTCTTACACTGGAATGACACAATAATATAATTTTTGCCTACTTATCTGTCTACCTTACTAGTTTTTAAGCTCCTTAGGGGCAGACAGCCTGTCATATTTATTTCTGCATTCCTGGTTTGAGGTTGGAGTAGCTGCTCAGTGAGTTTAAAGAGAGGTGTGGGCTTGAGTAGTCACAGACGGCTTTGAGGATGAGGTAGTACTGCATATGGTCCTTGAAAGATGGGGAGGAATTTGATAAGTAAAGAAGGGGGAAGGGTATTCCTATGGGGAAGGGGAAAGACTTCCCAGATAGGTATCCATGGGGTGGGAGACTGGCTTGTGTAGATATTGTGGGAAGGGCTGGAAAGGGGAGGGACCTATTATTTATTGAACATCTTCTGTGGGCCCAGAACTATGCTGGGAACTTTACAGACATTCTCTCATTGAATCCTCACAACAACCTTATTATTCTCATCTTCAACTGAGGTTTTGCGACATTTTGAAGATCACACTGTTAATAAATGATAGAAAAGAAGGGAATCCCAACCAAAGTCTGACTTCAAAACCCATGCTCTTCTCTTTGCAAGAAAAGTCCTTGAATTCATCAGATCCCACAACTCTCCTTCTGTTAATCTCCTTGCTGTAAAGAGTACAGGGGTTTGTCTAGTCCCTTCACTGAGCTCCATGTGCCCACTGCCACCAAAATGCCAATGGAGAGGCTGCAATTCTGGGCTCTTCAAGGACCTGGGCTCTTGAAGCTCCAGGAGCCAGCTGTGAGCCTGATAGTAGGCTATCTTCCATCTCTCCTTGAAGGTCAGGTCCTTAATGACAGAAAAGTCTTCATCCATCTATGCAACTACATAGAACCCTGGGAGAACCTGTCTTTGTTGCAGAGGGAAAGTCTGAATCATCACTACCAGCTAAACTGTGGCTGCCAAGTAAGCGACTGTCCATTTCCAAGGCTTTCTGGGGGTGGGAAGAGGCTGTTGAGCCTTGCAGGGCACCCTTCATGCAGTCCTTCATGCATGCATGCATTCATTCATTTGCTGTACATCTGCTGGAGATCTGCCATGGATCAGGTACTGTATGAAGTTGGGGATGGGAAAGTAAGATGGTCCATTGTCCCTGGCCACAAAGTACTTACCATTTGGCTGGGAAGGAGGCTATCATATAAAGCAGACTGAGATAATAATAATACAACTGCCATCTAAAGAGTGTCTACTCTTTGTCAGGCCCTGTAATGGCAACTTCCTAAAAAATATTTAATCTAGTCTGTATGAGGAATTAAGATTTCCATTTTAAGGTGAAGGAATTAACGCTCTGGGAAGTGAAGTGACTTGCTCAAGGTCAGTGATACAGTAAGGACTCTTAGGTCTGTTTGACTCTAGAGAGGCCATTAGGGAGGCAAAATTTCATGTGGGAACACAGAGGAAAAAAAAATTAGGGGGAAATTTGGGGACTAGGAAAGGCTTCATAAGGCAGGGGCATTTGAGAGGGGCTGTAAGGATGTGTAGAAGTCTGAAAGGCAGTAATGAAGGAAGAAGTACCTTGCACATGGAAGGCACTCTTCTCACTTTGATGTTTTGTGGTCATGATTCTAGATCACCACCTGCTATACAGTGCCCTGCACCATCTCAGCCCCCAACGAGTGCCTCTGGACAGACTGGCTATTGCAGCGGAAGCTCTACGGGTACCAGGCCCAGCATTATGTTTGTGTGAAGCATGTTGATGGCACCTGCAGATGGTACCAGGGCCATCTGCCCCTCAGGAAGGAGTTTGTGGACATCATCCAGCCCTAGGGACCAGTGGCCACCACATCCCGAGAGTTCCGAAGACCAAGCCAGTTCTTCCCTGCAGACCTCTGACCATCACCACCTGCCTCATCACCACCAGACACTGGGAAGCATCAAGTGGACGATCTGCCAGGGCTAAGGCAGGGATGGGGTCACGTTATAGCTTGTATCCAGGACTCCAGCCCAGAACCTGTCGAGCTAGGAGAGGTCACATGCCTTTTGTGTCCTGTTCTCAGCCCTTTTCCCCTGCTTCCCAACTACTATTAGTCTAGCTTGTTCTTTTACTGAGAGTTTCCCCTTGATTCTGGCTCAGTTTATTTGCCAAAGCCAGGACTATTTCCTTTTCTCCCCAAGAAAATGTGTTTTCTTTTGTCTTAACTGATTTGATAGGGGAGAAATGGTGAATATTATACATATGAAATGGTGTAGTTTTGTGATGTGCAACATCAGAAGGTGGCTGACAGTATCATAAACAGGCTGATTTGGGGCAATGAGAAGAACAACATACTGTGGCTGAGTATCCTCTACCCCTCCTGCCTCAACTCATCCTGATCCTCTGAGATGCTTTCATCTGTTTAGGGGAGTGATTTGGGGCCACAGAGTCACTCGATATGACAGCTAGAAGGGTCTGACCTCCCTCCCCATGCTGGAGTCCCCTCTATACCATTTCTGCCAGAGGGTCCGACCCAGTTAACTCACCTCTTTAGACAGGAATAGACTTAGATATTGACTCTCCAGGTTAACGATCCCCAGTGCCCTCAACTGATGTCCACAAGGGTTTTTTCCTCTTTTAAAGAGTACTTCTCTACTAGATTACTAATGTTTTTATTCCCACTTCAGAGCTCTTTTTAATACCAAAACGCCTTTCTCTTATAGAATTTAAATCCCCCTTCATCACATTTTTGACACCCCAGAGAGATCTTATGAGATCCTCTCTTGAGGGCAAATTTAGGATGAAGGACAGGAGAAAAATAACGTAAGGGCCCTTGGGGGAAAAGAATGGTAGGAGGGAAATATACTTTACAACTGTAGTTTTTTTTACAGTGGCCAGCCCTGTGTATGTGTCATAGCAGGAAAAAGCCAGCTTTGATACCCTAGAGAACACCCCCACCCTTCAGCTCAGTCCCCTCACCACTGTGTCCCGGATTCCCTGAGACCTCCAGCAGAAGCCCCTTAGGGCTCCTCAGCCTCTGCAAGGCTTCCTGGCTTGCCTGAAAGGGAAAGCCCTGATGTTGACCTCAGGGATTTATTAAGGACAGGGGCTTAAAATTCCAGACTTTCTCCCTGGGGAAGCTGTGGCAAAGATGAAGGAGATAGTTTTTTTAAAGGCACAAGGTTGTTAATCATTTTCTGTGGGTGGTTTGCGGATGAGCAGAGCCATGCACAATGTGGCAGAGGAAGGCTCTGGATTCACAGAAATGGTACAAGTGGAGATGTCTTTTGGAGAAGCGAGTTGGAGGGGAAACAAACATGATCTCTGTCCCAGAACATTTGGCAGAGAGTCTCCTCTGGTGGGTTAAGCAGGATCACAATCTGATCACACAGGCCTGGGGCAGAGGATGTGGGAACACGGGGGAAGAAGGGAGTTTGAGTTCCAGGTTGCTATGGAGGAAAAACATTAGCAATAGCCTCCTTACCAACCAATGTTCACACCTTTCTGCTCCCTCTGACATCCTAGGACAGCCTGAGAAGTCATAGTTAACCCAAGCCTTATCACAGTCTTGAGGAAGCCAAGGAATGGAAGAGTCTGGTGAATAATAGCAGGAACAATACCTTACATCTGGGGAGTGCTTCACACTCTTCCAGAAGGTGATTACTTAAAGCATCTCATTAAATTTTATAAGTACCATATTAGATATCCTGGTCAGGAATAATTATGCCCACTTGACTTCCCTCTCAGGAGAATGACAGACAGTGAGGGAGTGTAACCTATCCAATGACACATGGCAGAGCTAGGGCTAGAACCCAGAGCAGTGGGAACTTCTGATTGTTGGTCCATAAGTTTGTTACCCCCTCTGCTTGATAAATTTCGCTTGTTTCTGCTATTCCCTATCCTGTCTCCAGATTTTGAAGACAAGCTAAAATCCAGCCACTCCAGCCCTACAAAGCAGCTCCATAGTCCAACCCCAATGGAGTCTTTGGGGTTGAGATGCTGAGGCCCTCACCAGAGCCTCCTTGTCACCGTGTGGCTAAGCCCAGAGTGGAAATAGCATAGAGACCAAAGTCCCCACTCAGCCACCTACCATCTCTTTGTGGTTGGGGTAGTATGTCTGTTCAATGAGTGGGAACTTTTCTCCGCCTAGCGTCTTGTAGATGGCCACCATCTGGGCAAACTGCAAAAGAGAAGCAAATGTTTAAGCTTATTTAAGACAACTTGGGAACAGACAACGTATCAGTCCACCAAACAAATATTTATTGAGAATTTGCTCTGTTGAGGGCTTTGTGCTAAGTACTTTGAGGAAATAAAAGAGGTATACAATCCCTATCCTCAAGGCATATATGGTTTAGTTGGGGGAGGGAGAAAGAGTGAATTAACATACGTTGAGTATTTACCCACTTTTAATGGTGTTTAATTCAATCCTCGTATCAAATTGATGAACTAGGTTATTTTATCATCTTCATTTTACACAAGAAGCTCAGAGAGGGTAGGTAACTTGCCTAAAGTCACAGAGCTGCAAAGAGGTGAAGTCGGGATTGAAACTTGGGTCTCTTGACCCAAGAGATGATGAGATGAGCTTAATAGCTTATGGCCAAGTCATGGTAGTTCAAACGTCAGGTAAAGTAGCTTTTTCCTGTACATAGTATGGAGTTTGAGCATCAGAGTTTAAGCGACGATGTCATGAGTGGAGCTGTTTGTTTTTCAGGAAGATTTAGATGGTTACAGTATACAGGATAGACAGACCCAGTGTTTCTGGGACTTACCAGCTATCCAAAGACTGAACTCACTGGACCTTCTCCTACCTATGAAAAACTAGAACAGTTCCATGGTGAAGAGGTGAAGTGCTCATACTTACAGTGTCAGGGTTAAAAGGTCTTTGGCAACATCTAGCGTCCCCCACCACCCTCCCCCCTTGCCACACACACATTCCATACATGAGGAAACTGAGGCAGAGAAGTCACTTGCCCAAGGTCACACAGTAGTTGAGCCAGATTCATTCCCAATCCTTAATTCTCCCTATTCCTTCAAGTAGCTGCCTTTCAGGCTCCGAAGACACCATGCTCTTCCCACAGGAAACACACAGGACCCCTGCTCAATCCTTTCACACACCACCCACATACCCATCCCCAGTGCCGTGGCAGCTGGGAGGATCCAGTGTCTTCTCTCTAGTGCTACTGGATTAGTTCACACTCCAAGCCACCTGAATCTGGAATTGCTAGGAGAAAATGTTGCCAGATCAAACTTGCCTCTATTTACCAGAGAAAGAGAACATTTTAAAAAAGCTCATGTCTTGTTCTCTATAAGGGATGTTGACACATAAGCCATTGAGGGTGAGGTGGGGTAGGGCAGTCAAAGTTGAGAATGGGGTTGTTAAAAAAACTGTAGTCTTCTGGTTCTCGTTCTGCCTCTAACTTGATAAGTGTCCTTGGGCAAATTCCCCTCTCTGGGCCTCATTTTCTTCGTATATAAAATGAAAAGGTTGAATCTGATCAGTTCCTCAACCTTTTTACCACAAAAAACATCCTTTTATTATATTTCCTCTCAAACTTCATTATCAAACAGCATTTTAAGTGATGATGACCTATTGTGGTCCTTTTGTGGGTAAATATACAATTTTGTCATTAGTTTTGAAATGCTGGAGAACACTGGAATTCCTGGGTCACTCCCTTTACTGACACACAGTTGGTGATTTTAGATCCCTAGGGCTTCCTCCAGGACTGAAAGTATGATTTGTGGGCTCTCAACCTCCAAAGATTTTATTGTAAAAGACTTTAGAGAGCCTCTAGACCAGCCCTCTCATCTTACAAATGAGGAGACTGAGGCCAGAGAGGCAGGGAAAGGTAGGCTCCCAGATCATACCTGGAGTTGGGCTGAACTGAAACAACACCTAGGTCTCTTCTCCTTGCCCAGTGCATTCTCCATTGTACCTTGTTGTCACACCATTCTCTGGTTTTTCAGCTTTTTTTGACAAGACCAAACCCCCAGTTCTTTCCTGCCTTCTTATATTCTCTCCACCACCTAATCTGACCTTTATGTCCTGCCTGCCCACCTTAGCCTGGATGGACTCTTGCTGTGCCTCTGGATACCTGCCTGAGCTCTCAAGGCTCTCCAGCATCCCCAGAGTGCTGGTGGCAGCTCTGCCTAATGACCTCTGTCCTGCTGCAGCCCACGTGCTGGCATGCCACCAAGCCATGTGGAGCTCTATCTTCCCAGCATGTGGGAGAGTTACATATACACCTCATGGATGCCAAGAAGGCCCACGGCTGACTCCCAGAGCCCTGGGGCAGCCAACACCAAAATGGCAGCCAGTTCCCAGGCACTAGTTGAGTTCCTGGGAGCTCACCCCACCCCACTACACCCGATCTCCAGCAGTCCCTGTCTGCTCAAGGTACTGGATAGACACAATGCCTGTCTCCCTGGAAACTTAAAATATAAGTAACAGGCACACAGTCACTGATTAAATAAATGTGGTATCTGATAAAGGCTATTTCCTCTATGCATAGACAGAAGAATGAATTTGGGAGCTGGAGTGGTATGGGCAATGAGGAGGAAGATAGGTTCATTATAACCACTTATCCAGTGAATCAGGAAAGACTTTCTTGAAAGAAATAGGATTTCAAGATCAGTTTGAGTAATATATTGTCCTTACCCCTCCTGGAAATAAAATGCTTTAATTCAACCCTGATGGTCACCAAAAGACCCATAAAGAGTGACAAGAATTTCAGATCCATTTGTAGCAATAAGGGGTGGTAGCATTCTTGCTTTCTCTGGAATGCTGCTTCCATTGACAGGCTCACTTCTGCTTCTGAAATCCCTAGTGTGCCCACCCTGGCTAATCTCAAAGATCTGAGCTACAGTGATGCAAAGTAGAGCCTTTTCCAGTCCAACTGAAACCTCTCCTCACACCATGAACAGCCACAGTAAAGACATTTAGAAAACATGAGCCAAAGTCATTACCTCAGAGGGACCCTCCCTTCACAGTCACCACAACGGCCCACCCATTAACGGGCAGAGAACAATACGTAAAAATGATATTCGTGTGTCAGCTGCTTAGTGAAACTGAAGGGAGAACTTGGTGTCTGGCCAGAGAGTCCTGCTGTTTTCATGCAGTGCTGAAGGCAATATGCTGGGACTGTGAATGGGCAAGAGCGTGAACCCTCATCAGACCCCAGGTACCAGTAGGGGCACAGGTCTCCTCAGTCCTCCCCTCTGGCCTCTGGCACAGTTTAGGAATAGAGAGCAGGGAACTTGTTTCTTTAAGATCCCAAATACTAGGGGACTGTAACATCCAGGCTGATGTTACAGTCCTAACATCCAGGCTGATGTTACAATCCCCTAGCACTGACAGCAGGCTCTGAAGGTCTGGCAGAGTGGCAAGTACTACTACTATTCCCAATCTACAGACAAAGAAACTGCGGCACTGAGAGGTTTAGTCATAGGGCTGATAAGCAGTGAAATCACCCAGAAAAAGCTGATAGTAGTAGAATAACCCTCACGGCTATGAGGGATCCAAATTCTAACAGGTACTGGCGGGGGAGTGGGGAGTGGCGGCAATATGTGCAGGAGGTACGGCCATGTGATTGAGAAAGGGGAGGTCCTCAGAAAAGAAACTTGGTAAAGGCCTCACACGTGCTCTATGATTAGTAACACACTCAAATCACACAACTCTTTTAGCCTTGTTCCTGCAGAACTCTTAGGATTTCAGGTGCCTCGGGCCATGCAGAGGGAAAGGCTGAACACATTGAGCTCTGGAACCCAAGCCTCCCTCCTTAACCACAGAGCAGCAACCAGATCTTCTGATTCCTTGGTCACTGGTCTTTCTCTCACACTGTAAGGTCTCCCTGGCTTCCAAGAGAACAGGAAAGCTATTCAGGTGTGGGGGGCGGAAAAAAAAGATCAAGAGCAGAGTTGATGGATCCATTTGTTTAAAAAA